TTAAATTTCACCTATATTATCGTTGATTCCAACACTCCTGAAAAATGTGTTTCTTACAAAAAGTTGTTTCTAAACTAGGGAATAAGGGTTGGTTATTGATATAAATAATATTACTTTGAATTTGTAAGTCCCACATTTTAAAACAGGTTTGGAATAGATAAAGAATTTTTATATAATTTTGAACTGATCTAAAACCCTTCCCTGTTGTCCTAAAGAGTATTCCAAAAGTGCCAATGTTTTTAATATATTACCAATAATAAAACACGATTTCCTAAACACAGATTTTAAAGAAGTTTATTTGATGTTCTTAGGATTATAATTACCAATAGGCCAGGGTTCCCACAGTGCGCACATACCCCATCCTTAACCCAAATCGCGGCAATGGGTACCCTGAAACAAAGTCAACAAGGCAACGCCGCTCGACCTGGAAATGTAAAAGGCAAATGGCATTTGGCTGGGACGGCGTTGGGTCTCTGAATTTGCGGCTGCGACTGTGGCAGACACTTAACTTCAATTGAAATCAGTCAGTCGGAATCAATGAGTCCATTTCGTCTGTTTCCCAACAACCTAAAATGCACGGAGCCAACGTATTGAAACAAACGTTTTTGTTTCGCACAGGCAAACAAAGGGACAAGATATAGAAGTTGGAAGGAGGAATCGGAATCGGATTCGGAATCGGCATCGGAAACCCGAATCGAGTTAATGCGCCTTTTTAAGTGCTCAAGTGTTTTGGCTGGCGAAATGCACCGAAAGCTTTCCCAGGAAATTACGGTTAGGGTAAAAGGATATGGGACTTTGAGGATATACTTGGGCAGCTGCAAGTGTCTCCCATTCCCAAAAGTCACTTCCTTGCACAACCACACAATTGTTTTGCCTATGAAAATATTATCCATACTTATTTTTGTTTCGCCTCGTATTACCCAAGGACTTATTGGCCAACTTATGCCCAGCTGCCCAGATTAAGAATAAAAGACGATTTGGAGAAGCGAGGTGTAGGCTTTCTGATCCCTTGACCTTTTCTCCGGCAGATGTCCTTAGATAAATGTTGGAAAACATTGGGCAATTGCAATTTTTTGGCATAATCCTCCAGGAGTGAGTTCTTCTCTAAATGGGAGATATTTTGCGGGAAAGGTTGATGCGGTTGCAAAAAGTAGATTACTATCAAGCGATCCAATTGTTCTCTAATATGTCTAGCCTTCAATAGAAAAGTAGATCATAGCATCCTCAAGTGTTGGGTTTAAGTCCCACAAAGGGTAGAGGGCAAAACATGTTACTCATGGGTTAATAACTCGAAAGAGCCAACCATAATACAATGGAATTTTATGGGTACAGGACTCAATAGGAAAAGAAAGAGAAACAATATTTATACGAAACATTTAAAATAAATATTATAACAACTTATTGTTAGTTTATAAAATATTTTATTTTTTGTAAAATACTAGGTTAACTTTTCTCGACTCACGGTATATTGAAATTTATAAATTAAAGTTACCTTTCGCCCCACCTCAAGGCTTAAATGCATCCGATGAGGGAGTATGACTGCCATTTCAATTTCCAGACGGGACTTAAACATCAAGTCACGCCCTCAATGGCGACCACACCCCCAAAAACCAACTCAACATCATGACCACAGACAAAAAAAATATTAAAAACAAAAACGCCAAGATAAAACCACATAAAAAGCGGCAGCCGCCAAAAGTCATGAATTACAATGCCTAAAATCGCTCATTAGGAACTAAAATTTGTAAACTTAAGGCGATAAACATCCCCACGAAAGCAGCGACAGTCAGACATGGCTAGCGCGAACAATGAATATGGTAAACATAGAGGCAGCGAAGAAAGAGCGTGTGGAAATAATTTGGTTACAATTAAATAACAAAAGAATTTGTTTGGCAACTCTTGTGCGCTTTTTGGCCAACAAAGTATGCCCCATTATGGCCTACACCTGCCCCGCCCCTTCTTCCACCTCTGGCGGCATTACAAAGTACTGCACTGTACTCCCCCTATATATAAAGCCATTTCCAATGCCATTGTCCAATTGTTAGGGCTCAGCTTCAGCTGTCCCGCTCCAGATTAAGCTGCGACTATAATTAAGAGCGGAACGGGTCAGCAAAGAAGTGGAGATCGGGGGAATGGGCAACTGTTTACCATAACAATGAGCCGACTGCATGGAAAACACCTTTGGTCGCACTGGAATAAAAAAGTGGTACACAAAAAATATATATCTCATTTAAATTTGAAGTGCCATGAACAAACAAAAATCAGCAAAGAGATATTTATATTTAATTAATACACTTTACAACACTGCCTTTACCTATATTTTTTAAGGTTATATATATGCTTTCGACAGCACTGCAGAATGTGCACACTTAAATAAATATTTATTATACTAAGTATTTTAAATTAACACTGTGCCATACATATATTAAGAAAAATAGTTATATGCAAAAATATTGAAATTAACAACCTTTACAACACTACATTTTAATAAATGTCTTTTACAATCTTTAATGACAGTATGATAATGCTAACGAAAATCCATTATTTTTTCTCCGTGCATCTGGAAGAAAGAAAAACTTTTGTCGCTGGCCTGGTCAGGTGTTAATGTCTGTGTTTATAACCCAAGTGAATAGAGCCGACTCCTATATATGAGGTGTGCAATTATCGTCATTAGTCCCCGTACCCCCCCGTCCAGTGCTCGCCTCCTTTGATCCACCATTGTTCTTCTGACGTTTGCCGCTTTAGTTGCGGCTTGTTGTGTATCGATGTTGCATGCTATAATTTTGAAAATAATAAAATGATTTCTTCATGCCAGTCACAGTTGTGCTGCACACACACATCATAATCATCATAATCATCGCATGGTCCCAAAGACCCCAACCCCATCGCCTTCGTCATTATGCTGATGATCATCGGTCTCGCCTCATCCAATTATTACAGTTTAGCCATGCCACAAGTCAAACAAAAGATCCCAGGGCTGTCAGAGTCCCGTCAGTTGTTCTCTTCTTCTTGTTGGTTTTTTAAGGTTACCTAAAATTTGGGGTTGAGTGGGTAGCTCTTGGTGGTTGCCTGAGGACTCGAGGTGTTAATGAGTGGGTTGGCAACGGAATTTGGAAGGGGTGCGCCATAGAGGATCAAAATGCGTACTTATTAAAAATTATCCAAGGACTTCCATTCGAATAACAATGTGGCAATTTTTTTAAAAAATAGTATACCTATATCATAGCCTTCACATTGAAAACTATTCAAAATGGCTATACTAAAAATTTACAAATAATAACATTTATATTCAAAAAGAATTCCTTAAAACGGAAATAACTTAAAATATATGCTTCCAGTTTGTAAAAGCATTATATATTAATTTTTAAAAGTGTAGAAATATATTAATAAACAAACAAAATATTGAAATTATTATTTTTTATTGAAGTAGAAACTTTGGAGCACAGAATTTCTGACTTATCCCGACCTCTTTCCGTTGCAACATTCTGCACATTATCAACTCGCAGTCGTCTAATGGGCTAATCAAGAGTATTACAAAACCCACAACAAACTGGCGCCACATTCAATCTAAATCAGAGTTAGCGCGATTCTCGCCGCTCTTTGCGACATAAAGTTTCTTGAACTTAGGCCTCACACAGCAACGAGACCCGAGTTAATTGAGTCAACTGCCTGTGACATCATGCGATTGTGAGTGTGGATCGTCTGAATAGTCTTGAATATATAGGGATAATTCGCTCGAGATGTTTATACAGACAATAATCCGTCGCGCAAGGCGAATAAATTGAAAGAAATGGGGAAATCTCGGTGGGGAGGCGGGGGTAATTCTAGGGGCCTCCTGAGAAAGAGAGATTTACGTGGAAAAGAGACAAACAAATAAATTTACTTTGATTGAATAATGGTCGCATAATTGGCAACTTGAATGGAATTGAGTAGCAGGCAAAACGCAATTGAAAACTGTAACAACAAATGCAGTTGGCAGGAATACCCGAGTACGAAGTGTATTAACTAAGTGAATTGGATAATCTCATTCGCATTCGCATTCCCATTCGCATTCCCAATCCCATTCCCTCAACGACTGATGTCCAAGATTTTCGCCTCAATTGAAATGTGCAACTGAGAAATGTCAGCCGGCAATTGTCATCTAGATGGATGCGAATATCGCGCATACGCCCCGTAAGGTGCAGTTGCACAACCGCAGTTTGTTAACCTCTGGGCTAAACGATGAATCACCACCTTGGTCATGGGAGTGAGCAAGTGAATCGAACTGAAAGATCGAACTGCAGTCAAGGTGCGCCAGACAGCGACTAAGAAAAATGAGTGGTTATTAAGCACCGCCAAAGAACGCGGCTTTAATTTCATCTAATAAATATGGCTAGATGACTCGCAAGGCGCCATAATCTTAAGCAATACACTGGAAAAAGGATTGCCACTTTAGGGAGGTAGCGAAAGGAACATACTTCCATTAATGCGAAATTAAGTCCTACGAATATGTAGGAGGCCTTGAGTTTATTCAAGAGGCCTCTTCGAATCCAGTATCATTCTTCAAGTGGGATCTCGAATATCCTGAAAAAATGGCAGGGGGACCGTTTGCATTTTCTTGTTAAATGGACTTATGATAACTCAGACTTGTAATACAGTTTTTCATTCCATCGCCAATTAGGAAAAATATAGCAGAGCCAAAAAAAAAGCCTAATTATTATCATTAAAACAAGATGTATATGTGTTTCTTTTAAGTTAATTCAACTCAAGTAAATATTGAAGGTATTCGAAAATTTTATATTCGAATTGAACATGAAAATAAATGAGATACCAATTTTCTTTTAAGCATTTATCCATTCAAGTTTACAAAAAACATTCAATACATATTTCAAATGAATAATAAATTCCATGTTTTATAAAACCATATTTTGTTGATTCTTAATAAGCAATTGATATTAAACAAAAAAATTTAAGTTGATATAAAAATTAACTGTTCGTTTACTGCCTCTGCGAATTTATCGAAAATGAAAAACATAAAAAAACCAGTGGTTCGTACTTAACAAGTTCACAATGTATTATTTTTAACTGTTTACCGAAGATTCACAATTTATATTAATATACACAAAACATGTGTGTGGGACATGCGCCAAAATTTGATTTGATTTGACAGTTCTCAGGGGCTCTTAGCGCTACTTTTACTACAAGCCCGCAAGTATATGTACATATACCATGCATTTGAGTATGCCTGCCGGTTATTAAGGACTTCCTGTTTGTCGGATTGTCCGATTGCCGACAAGTTTGTCGCGACAACAGATTCATTTAGCGGCCACTGCAGTTCAATTTAACACCCGTTGTCACTAACGAGTCCCAAGCTCCCCCGCAGATACCATTAATTTTCTACTTTTTTATTTTGTTTTTCAATTTTTATTTCAATAGAATTTTAATTGGTTTCCGTTTTCGCTCGCTTCGTTCGGTGTCTAAATATACAATAATATATAAATTAAATAGTGCTTAGTTCTTTGCCTGTAGCGCTTAAGTATCGTTAATCAAATTACATACATATACCGTAGATATGTGACAACAAGTTACCAACTCTGAAACACTCGTTTGGAAAAGCCTTTGCAGAGATATTGCTATCGTGTTTTTAAGGGGTCTGAGTTGGAACCACATAAAAGTATTTTCACTACATTTTCAAAGTGCTATAGATAGACTTTTTATGGCTTTTCTGGTGGATGACATACGTTAATTTGTTTAGAACGGAAAATACTGTTTTATTGAATTTGGTTGTTGTGCCTTGAACTAATAAGCAAACATTCTTTAATAAATTTCAGTTTTAATTTAAAATTTCTCTTTATAAAAGCGTTTTAAAATTTAACCTTTTTTATTTCTTTCCCAAGTCTGCAAAGGTTTCCATTACATTCGGTTAACCGAATATGGTTTCTTCTCTAGCTCCTGCTTTGATTTTCTTATTTCCCCCCATTTCTCATCTATTTACAAGCGTCTAGCGCCTCAGTCGCGGCTATATCTATGTACAAGGAATACTTATGAGCTACAGAAGCTGCTCCACTGGCCAAAGAATCGGAGGAATCTCCTCCACGGAATCTTCAGCTGTTGCGGGAGACAACGGTGACGGGCTTCATGAGTGGCTGTGGCGAGGGTCCCGGGGAGTCCCCGCCTGGCGAGAGGGGCGGTCCCTGACCCACCACCCCCAAGTGGGCGTGGTGTTGGGGCGGTGGTTGTTGTGCCGCCTGCGAGGCCGCCACCACCGAAAGTTGCCTTTGATGAGCCGCCAAGGCGGCGGCTGCGGCATGTTGATGCAACAGCTGTTGGTACTGCAATCGCTGGTAGAGTTCGCTGCTCGTGGGTGGTGGGGCAACAAAGGGCGGAGGTCCCGGGGGTCCAGGAGGTCCTTGTGGACCAGGAGGCAGTCCCGGCAAGCCCGTTGGCATCCCCGGATGTCCCGGTCCACTTTTTGGCGCAAAGGGATTGTAGCGCTGATACATGCTGGCCAGCAAACTGGGCGCCGTCGGGGGGTAGGTGAGAAATTGGCCAAACTGGGGATAGGCAGCCAGTCCCGGGAACATGGGTCCTATCAGGGACCTCTTAAAGGCCGCCAGCCTAGAGCGGGAGGCAGCCGTTGTCCTTCTCCTCAGCTTTCCCGTTGATCCGCCAATGAAAACATCCTCCGCCGAGGGATCCAACATCCAGTAGTTCCCCTTTCCGGGATCATCATAGTGCCGAGGGACCTTCACAAAGCACTTATTTAGACTTAAATTGTGCCTTATAGAGTTCTGCCAGCCCTGCTTGTTGTCCCGGTAGTAAGGATGATTGGTCATGATGTACTCGTAGATGCCGTTCAGGGTGAGACGCTTCTCCTGGCTCTGCCGAATGGCCATCATGATCAGCGCATTGTAGCTATAGGGCGGCTTCTCGTTGCCCTTCTTATCCTTGACCGGCTTGCCATCCGTGGACTTGTTCTCCGCATCGCCATCGGTGGTCTCTCCATCACACTCCACATCCTCCTCCACAAACTCCTCATCCACTTCCTCCTGATCGCTTTCGTTGGTGTTTAGAACGGGAGCCGGTGACATGGAGGTCACATCCAGGTCCGACTCGGGATCGCTTTCCGCCTCCTGATCCTCAGAAGATCCCCAGTTCGTGGCGTTTAGGTTGTTGTTATTATGATTGGGTGGAAACTTCGCCGGGGACTTCTTCTCCACTTCCTCTTCCTCGTCCTCGTCGTGATGCTCCAGAGTCTCGGGTAGTATGGCATTTATGGAGAAACTGGACTTCAAGTGGGGTGTCCTGGCCATTTTCATCAGATTGGTGAGATTCAGGCCGACGGGATGGCTACTTTGGAGCGGGTGATGGTGGGTGGTGGGCGGCAGTGGGTGGTGGTGGTGCTGAAAGTGGTGACTATGGGCACTGATCTCGCTGGACGGCAAACCTTCCTCGATCTTCACCATGTTGTCAGGTCAACTGGTTTAATAACTCAACATCGCCTGGGAATTTGGTTATTTGGTGTTATAATGCGTTATAGTGTTGTTTCATATATCAATTGTTTATTGTTTTATTTTTTTAATTTTATTTATGCCTTAAGAACCCTAAAGATGTTTTTATTCGGTTTGTTTTGGCTTTTCCAATTCACTAGATGTTCAAATTGGCTCTTTCGTTCAGTTGTCTCGCTTTACGTTCAGTTTTACCGACGCTCGACGACAATACACAGCCCACAAAAATACACGATTTCACGTCCGTTGCTGTGGGGCTTTCAGTGTAGACTAAAAACGAGAATTCCCAATAATTCCCAATCGCAGTCGGGCCGGTTTTCTTGTTTTTTTTTCGAACAGGGTCTTCAGAGGTGTTATCGGGGGTGGTTCTCGAGACAACCAATCAGCGCTGTGGAACGAATGATAGGTCGTCTCCCTTTCACTCACTGCAACTGGAGACTCTCTCTCTCAGATTTATTTTTCCCATTCGTTTTACTAATTGCCGCCGACAGGGAAACACGAAAAACGCCGACGCCACGCACACAAATAAATATAAACAAATATATATAAAGAGAGAGGGCTATATGGTACTCCCCATACCTCATAGAGTAGGTCACCCTTTTCCGGATTGTGGGTTGCATTTTGATACGCTAGGTCTTTCGTATACTTATTATTCTATTTTTTTTTCTTCCCCTTGCTCTTTTATATCGGCAGCTGTTGGTGTTAATGTATTTCTTGTTTTTACACACAGTTGCCATTATTAATTGTATCCCGGACCGTTGTTGTTGTTATCGTTTCAGTTGCCATTTGCCCCCGTTAATTTTTCGGCGAGTTTGCAAACTGATGGACGGCGAAAGGGGGTTGCGATTCAGTTAGATATGAACTGAGATTTGTGTGTTCAGATTTTGGATTTTTATTCCCGTAGAGGAACATTAAGATCATCCGTTACAATAGCCAAAATTTGTATGAGGGAGTTGATGATCATTTCAGTTAAAGGTAGTTTTTACCTCCTAGCAGCTGTAGTAAATTTGGAAACCATTTTTATGTCCGCTTAATGTTTTATATCATATTTATTGTTAGCAAAGAAATAGTAATTGCATAGGCAGACTTTTAATGGGATCGAATCTGCTTAATATTGTAATAATAATTTTCTATATTACATAAAAATAGTTAGAAACAACCACTGCTTACATAACTAAAAAGAAATCATTTATAAGATATGTTCATACCATTTTCACAATTTTTGGGTAACATAAATTGTAACATTTTTGCTTTTTAAAGTTCTCAAGAAATCTAAGACGTGCCATTACTACTTCCCAATTAAGTAAGTTTCTTTACTTTACTGTATACCAAATTGAATGAAATATTTTCCCAAAGACCAACTTTTTAACAACCGAGCAAATCAAAAACGATCTGACAATTAAATGTAATTTGGTGCAATCAATTTCCACGAAGGAATTTTCCAGAACGCCTGCAAAAGTGGGGTAGCAGCTGCTGGCATTCGCATGAGCCACGAAACACATGCCACATGACCGTGTCTATATGGTGACCCCTCCCTAACCGAAGAGAACCGAACTCAAAATCGAAATCATTGCTGTAATCATAATAATTGTTTTCACAAATTGGGGGCGTGCACTCGTCGGTCGTGCGATTGGATCCCAAAAGACACACACGACCACGGCTATATCTCTATTTATAAGGTGAGGGAAAAACATGTTTTACCTGAACGAAAACCATAAAAAAAGCCGAAGACCAAGACGACGACGCCATGTTTGTATCGCTATCTGGTTTTGGGTGTATCTGTATCTTTGCATCTATGTGTGTGTGTGGTATCCACACAAAGTTGCGGTTGTGTGAGTGCGGCCACAACTTATTGGATAGCCGAGTGGAGACATGCGCTCTCTTCGGTGGAGAATGGGGATTTCCCCCCTGAAAAAGCAAACCCCCTTTCGATACAAAATGGCGCCCAACAGTCTTCAATTGACTTTTCGTAGCCCCATTGTTTTCTCAGTATTTCAATTAAATTATTTATCATTGTATTTTCTGCGTTGGGTAATTGTTTTGGCTGCTTTGCATACAACATTGACGGGGTTTCAAAACTAAATGGATGGGAAACTTAATAATAGGGGATACCACAGAATGGTAATTATGGGTTGTCTTTGAAATTGTATGTTTGTTCTAAATACATAATAGAGATGTTCGGAAGGAAGGGAAGACACTTTATAATATTTTATTAATTATGTTATTATATTTTGATTTAGTATTCCTATACTAACAAATAAGTTAGGAGGGTGTTCTGTAGTAACTTTCTGAAGGAAATGAGGGTGGTATTCATTATTAATTATTTATTTCCGAGAGACATTTACAGTGTGGTAACGAAATTACTTTGCGATAGTAATAAATAAAATATTGGTTGTAGAGCTAACACAAACTAATAATGAATGGTTTGTTATGTTAAATAGATAAAACACCAGTATTGGTAAAAGTGTCCAACTCCACCACTATAATGTTTTACTTGACTCAAGCGATCAATCATCCCACTACCGTTGATTAACCAAATAAATATAAATTTGTTTACTTTCCGGCGATTCATCTTGCCGAAATCCCGCTTAAAATTTCAGAAGCAAAATAAGCAGCAAAATCCTTTTCGAAAATATTCAAAATATCAACAATTGAAAACAAACAAACCGGCCAGAGAACCGACTTAGAACTTCCCGACATTCGGGAGTCCGGAAACTATGGAGTGTAATTACCCCGGACAAACAAAAACCCATGAAAAACGAGCCACGGAAAAAAACCAACTTGTCATTGATCAAAACGCTGAAAAGGAGACAGATTTCTGCGCTACCGAAAGGGATTTATATTTCAGGATTTCGGATCTATATACACCCATTCGGAGTTGGGGGCGAGAGTACTTTACTAATCAGCCAGATTTATAGCTGGCATTTAGTTTTGTTCCATCCCGAAGTTTTTCGATATTTTGGCAGAAATAAATCCGCGACGCTTAACCCTTTAGGGATATTTCGCTGGTGCTCTTAACCCGTTCTCGGCCGTAAAGTTGCCACGCCCGTGAAGAAACGCCTACGCGCAAGTCCTTCCGGGTATATATGCCTTATTTTGATAGACTCAATGGCAGTTTAACCGCAGGATTAGCTTGTTTGTCCAACGGATCAGCGCGGTCCATGCAAACAAGGCTCTAAATCGTGGGTTGCCCCTCTACCTGCGGAATCGGGGACTCTGAACGGGTTAAGGGTCGTCCAGAATCGGTGGGTTTTAAGGGATACACAGACCATTGCTTCCGCTGTTTATATGGTCTGTTTACATGGCCGCGCAGTCAGCAATGGGAATCCTACAATGTCTTACCTACGCCCAGACACCCATTCCAGCTACCGTTTCGAAAGAGTTAAGCAAGGATTAGATCGATCCAGGCTCGGAACGAGGACTTAGCTTAGCGCGTATTAATCTCATTTCGAGGACCTCAAGCTGTGTCCTCCTCGATGTCCTTGCTCCTCCCTAATCGCCGTCGCTTAGCCATGCAAATATTTTCAATTTGGCCCTTGGCTTGATTAAAGGAAAACGGTTTAACCAGGATGGCGATGGTAACATCTGATTTCGATTTAAGCGTCTTGTTCAGTTAACAAAATATGATGCACTGTCGGAAAAATCGGAGATAAGTATGTACATAATATTTCGAGGTATTCCTAAAACAGTTTTTGGTCAAAACTTAGGATCTTGAAAATATATGTTAAATAAAAACTCAAATCTTATCTTAGAGCTTTAAAAAATATATATTTCTTCTTCCGTCGACAATTTAAATATAAGAACAATTTCATAAAATCACAAGTGAGTCTGAAAAATAAAAGTTTAGAGATTTTAACCATTTAAAACCAATTTTTATGTTGTTATTTTTATTATTTATGTTTATTTTATATTTTTACAAAATATCGCTTTTCCAGATTGCAGAACACAGTTCCCGCCGTACAAAAAAAGAGTTTTCCTCTCGCTTTTCGCTCTGACCCGTTTTCAAGGGGATTATCCCGACGGGAAAAGAGCGCTGACAAATTGGCCAAATTTTGCTGAAATCACGTTCACGGGTCTTTGGACAGTTCCGGGATTCGGACACACTTGTTACACTTGTTGTTGTTGCTGTTATCGTGTGCTTCGTTTTGCAAATAAACAGCCAAATGAGTGTCCTAGAGGTTGCCTTGAGTACGGCGAAGGGTGAATTCGGGAATGGGGTGTCCTTTTTGGGGGTTTCTCCACGGTCCATGCTGCGATAGCATATGGTTTGGCCAAAACAGCGGGGTGATGAGCCGGAAACCAGGATTTAGAAAAAGGAAACTTTCAGCTTTGGTGGTTGATAAGTGCGCTATAGCAAGTAAGTCGATTTGAAAGAGAATTTTGTGGAGATTATCTCTGTGAGATCATCTAAGAATAGAGTGTGACCATATGGTGAAGTGAAAGATGAAATAAGAAGATTGCTGGACCAAATAAAATGGCGAACACTCTGGGTAAACAACGTTTCACAGGTTTGAAAACAAGTTTTAGGAACAGATTTTTAATCTTTTTAAAAAATATTATTTAAATAAAATAAATATTTTTTCCGTATATCTGCTCTTTGAAAATTCAGGATCCCGTACCGCACAAAGTCGGTCAACAGACCCTAAAATACAAAAAAATAAAAAACCAAAAGTTCACCCCAGTGGCTAACACTTGATAATTGTTGACAATGTGTTATAAACTGATTTACACGCATTTAACGAAAAAAGGGAAACCCTGCCAAAACTCACGCAGAGCCAACACCAACAACAAATAACATTAACAACCCACAAACGCTGACTAAAACGAGGCAATGGCAACGCGACACTCGTCGGCAACATCGTTAAGGGCAACCGGAACACCAGCAGCACTGCACTGAGCAGAAATTAATGTACATTCAACATAAAAAAGAAACAAATAAATTTACCAACGTCATCTTTCTTTACTCGACTTAGTATATCAGTTTACGATCTTAAATATTTCGATATGCATTGCGTTAAAGCCAAAACGCAGTGTGACCAATTCATCATTTTTTGCAAATCACGAGTGTGGCCAACTTAGATAATTATACGCACGATTCGTTTGTAGCTGAATTAAATTCAAAAATGTTGGATTTGCCTATAATAAATTAATTACTTTTTAACTTAGATATCACCAAAAATTAAATATACATAAGGTTTATTATATTTAAGTATTATCCTGCACCTAAGTTCAAATTTTATGCAACATGTCAGTTATTTTTTCAGCAAATTAAATTTAGGTGT